CCCGTCGCCTGGAAGGGGCGACCTAAAAGGGGCGCGTGGGAGACGGGCCTGAGCCCGGAGGCCCAGGGGAAGGGGTCGCCCGTCACCCGCGGGATCGGAAGCGAGCCCGGCCGCGGTCGCGCCCCTCGCCCTTCCGCGCTGCTCCGATTCCGCAGTGAGGCACACGGCTGACCGGGAGGGGCCCGCTCGGTCCCCGGAACCCTCCCGCCCGGGCGTCGCTTCGCCGGGCTGAGGAAAACCCCAGCCGAGGCTACTCTGTGAATGCAGGTCGGTTACAAGAGGCAAACCCACGAATTGCAGCTTACTTACAAACCCCTCTGGGCGAAGAGAAGACTCTTCTAGGAGAGTTTGCCCTCATGTCTCTACATTTTTGCCTTTCAGAATGTTGGCCACCAGGGCACTCAGCCTCATTGGCAAGCGAGCCATTTCCACCTCAGTGTGTGTACGAGCACATGGTAAGTGACCGTGGTGTTAGGTAGGCCCAGGTAGCTTTTTCTTCTTCTTCTTCCCTGTGTAGGGGTTTTAAACAATCCTGACATCTTGAACTGCCAGAGAAAGGAGTTTTTAGGAAACTGTAAGGGTTGCCGAGGTTCAAGGGAAGAAGGTTCAAGAGAAGAAGGTTAATTTACTGAGGGAGAGAGCAAACCTCCAGCTGTACAAAATGGAGTCGGGCGGAACTAGAGCTTATACCCTAACAGAAACAGTTTTTGCAGGCTATAGTTATAGAATGGGGTGAGGATAAATTGTATGGAACACTGATTGGGGTCTTAGATTGCACTGTTATTTCTCCCTTCTTTTTTCCAAGTCCAAGTCCCTCTCAAGAGTCCCTGTGTTGCTTGACTGGTGAGACCCCCTCCCGCCACAGGACTCCCAGCTTGGCTCAGTTATCCTAATTGAGGCAGTGGAAGCCAGGGCTTGGACTTTGGCCTAAGCTGGCTTTGAATGCCATTTCTCTTGTAGACTAGCTGCTCAGGTTTAGGGCTGTCGCCTCATCTGATGTATATGTGTTAGTTCGGTGTCTGGCATATAATCCGTAAAGTTCTGTATTTGCTGAGCATGTTCTTTGTACCAGACACAGGCAGAGCATGGAGACCGTGAGATGCGGGTTCCTCCATGGGATGTATGCAGTGCAGGGACGGTCAACAGGAAGAAGAAGGTGGAATTGAGTGAGCAGTGGCTCCAGGGTTCAGGGCCAGCTTCTGGAGGAACCATTTCACTAGCGAAGAAGGAGCAGTGAACGCAGACTGGAGAGCAACGACTTGTGTAGTAGGACGTAAAAGTAGCCCTCGAGCCTGTTCTCAGCGTAGTGCCAAGCAGAGTGGCACACCATTGGTGGCACCCCTGTCACAAGACATTCATGGTGACACACTGGAGTGAACAGGGAGCTCAGGGGGTCCCACTGTTAGAGGCCGGGCAGAAACCCATCCTGGTTGAAGACAAATAACATTCTTTTTTTGTGGGTATGGGGCTTGAACTCCAGTCCTCAAGAGCTGAGCTTTCTTGGTTATAGCAGGTGCTCTAGCACTTGAGACCTACTTCCAATCTGGCATTTTGTTGGAGATGTAGTCCCAAGGACTTTCTGCCTGGCCTTGAACTGCTTTTGAACTGTGATCCTGTAGGTCTCAGCCTCCTGTGTAGCTAGGTTATGGGTGTGATCCTTCGTATCTGGCTAGCCTAGGTTTTTTTTTTTTTTTTTTTTTTGAGTCAGGGTCTTGTTATGTAGCCCAGGCTGATCTGTACTATGTAGTAGCAGGCCAGTCTTTTTTTTGGTGGTCATGGGGCTTGAACTCTGGGCCTGAGTGCTGTCCCTCAGTCCTTCAGCTCAAGGCGAGCACTCTACCACTTGAGCTACAGCGCCACTTCTGGTTTTCTGGTGTTTATTGGAGATGAGAATTTCATGGACTTTTCTGCCTGGGCTGTCTTTGAACCTCCATCCTCAGATCTCAGCCGCCTGGGTAGCTAGGATTACAGATGTGAGCTACCAGTGCCCGGCTTAACAGGCCAGTCTTCTAACTTGGTCCTTCGCCTCCCAAGTACTGTGACTACAGGCATGCACCAGGCTGGGGTGTGACTAAAGCAGTAGATTGCCTGCCTAGCAAACATGAAGCTGTAAGTTCAAACCTTAGTGCTGGGTGCTGGGGGGGGGGTGTTAATTCAAACCTTATTGCTGGGGGGAATTTATATTTGTGCATATGAGTTTGTATGTATATACCTGTGGGTGCACATATAGAGAGGATCAGACAGGCAGAGACAGACAGGAATGCTGCCATTTCACTTCAAGTCTTTCTGCAGTGAAAGAGGCTCACTAGTTATAGGCATGGCTAAGGTACACACGTGGAGCTTATAGACTACTGTTAAGGCTGCAGGTGTTGATCCTTGATTTAATTTGGGAGATTGCGATCCTTGTGCCTAAGCTGATGGGGGTGGAGCATTCTGCAGGGCTCCGTTCCTCCAGACCAATTGGGGACTGCCCAGATATAGGAAGGACAGGATTGGGGGCATCTGTTGGGTTTTATGATGGGAAAACCCTAAATAAAATGAGAATTGCTTTTTTTTTTTTTTTTGGGTCCAGTCGTGGGACCTGAACTCTGGGCCTGGGCGCTGTCCCTCAGCTCTTCAGCTCAAGGCTAGCGCTCTACCACTTGAGCCACAGCGCCACTTCCGGCTTTTTTTCTTTTTTTTTGCTTATGTGGTGCTGAGGAATCGAACCCAGGGCCTCAGGCATGCAAGGCAAGCGCTCTACCACGGAGCCACCTTCCCAGCCCAGAGAATTGCTTTTCTTGTTGCCTGAGCTCAGGGCCTCTTTGTGTAGTGCTCAGGTACATGCTCATGTTCTGGCAGTAGAACAACAGAAGCAGAAAGGGAAATCTTGACTCCATTCTCACCTCTTCCCACCTAGTCACCATTCAGGGTTTACTTTGCTAGGTGCCCTTGAATAAAGAGCTTCCTATCTACAACCTGTATTGTGTACGATTTACTTAAAAGAAAATCTGGGCCAGAAGTGGAGCAGTGGCTCAAGTGGTAAGAGTGCTAGCGATGAGCACAAAAACTCAGAAACAGCACCCAGGCCCTGTGTTCAAGCCTTAGAACTGGCCAAAAAGTAAAAAGAAGGTAAAACTTTTTTGGCATTAAGAGTATGAACTCAGGATCTTGTGCTTAGCCAAGAACCTTACCACTTGAGCTACCGCCCCAGTTTTTTGCTTTAATATTTAGACAGGGTCTAGGGTTTTGCTTGGGGTGAGCCTCTCTGTCCTCCTACCTGTGCTTCTTGCTTGGGTGAGATTGTCCTGTGCACCCCTACGCCCTACCACACTTGACCTGATTGACATTTTTTTTTTGGTGTGGGTCCGGGGGCTTGAATTTAGGGCTTGGGCACTATCCCTTAGCCTTGTCAGCTCAAGGGTGGCACTCTTACCACTTGAGCCACAGCTCAGCTTCCAGCTCTTTGGTGGCTAATTGTAAATAAGAATCTCTCTGGACTTCCTTGTCCAGGTGATCCTCAGGTCTCAGCCTCCTGAGGACTAAGATTATAGATAGGCATGAGGCATTGGTGCCCATCTTGCATTCTTTAAAAGATAGAAGCAAAACTGGCCTTGTTCTGTGACTTGGCAAGGGCTCCTGCATCCGTGTGGCCTGCCTCCTGCCGCTGATGCATTGCCATGTCACCTGTGTGTTTTTAGTACACCCCAGCACCGTTGGGGGAATGTGTGGTTCATCCGGTTCCCAAACCATGCTAGCTAACAGAAGGTGCTTGGTGAGTACCAGCTGCAGAAATGAGCAGATGGGGACTGGGTAGGTGGGTCAGTGGTAGAGTGCTTGTCTTGCATGCATGAGGCTCTGGGTTTGATTCCTCAGCAGCTGAGGGACAGCGCCCAGGCCCAGAGTTCAGGCCCCATGACTGGCAAAAGAAAAAACAACAGATGGCTTGGCATCTTCCACCTGTGAGGCTGGCAGCTTCTGAGTTGGTCCTCTGTGGGGCCCAGGCTGTGCTCATCCCCGGCAGCCGCCGCCACACTCTCACTCATGTCTGTTTCCAACCTTGGATTGCTGGTTTCTCCTGAGTTGCATAGTCTTGCTCTTGCTAGTTTGAGTCCTGTGCAGTGAGGCAGGGAACCCTGACAGCCCCTGTAACCTGACGGAGGAAGGGCTGTGCCAGTTCTGTGGCCCAGGGCTCATTAGCAGAACCCCCTGCAGGTTTGTATTGCTGAGTCAGTGCTTTCCTCTAGCACTGAGTCACGTCACCACATGCCATAGGTCTCCATCTCTCCCTCTGTGGAGCCCAACGCTGTCTGCTGTGTTTGCAGGGAGTGTTGTGAAGAGTGAGGACTATGCTCTCCCCAGCTATGTCGATCGCCGAGATTACCCCTTGCCTGATGTAGCCCATGTCAGGCAGCTGTCTGCCAGCCAGAAGGCTCTGAAGGAGAAGGAGAAGGCAGCCTGGACTGATCTGAGCAAGGATGAGAAAGTCGAGTGTGAGTATAAGGGCCCTGAACCTGGCAATATGGGGATGTGTGTGGGAGGCTGCTCATTCCCACTCTAATTGTTCAGTGCTGCCGGCAACTGGGCGCCCAGCTTCTGGGCTGCAGATGCTTCCCCTGGGCACATGTGGTGCTTGGCATGCCGTCAGTCTCTGCAAGGTCAGCGCAGGTCTGCTGATGGCTATGCAAGGAGAGCACTTAAATGGTGCTTGGGTGTGAAGGTGTGCGTGTGTCCTGGCTGGTGCTGTGGCCTCCAGCTCCATGCTGCCCCGTCAGCTCTGTTGCTTGGGGAGGGGTGGGGGACAGTGCTGAAGGGTGCTGTGCCCACCACCTTCACGCTACAAGTGCTGCTCTTCCTATCCAGTGTACCGCATTCGCTTTAACGAGAGCTTTGCCGAGATGAACCGAGGCACCAATGAGTGGAAGACGGTTCTGGGCATGGCCCTGTTCTTCGTTGGCTTCACGGCGATTGTTCTGATCTGGGAAAAGCGCTTTGGTGAGTGGATGGGAAGGAGGAGTGGTGTGGGGCAGCGTCATCCTCAAGTGCCCAAAGTCACCGTGGGGGCTTTCGCGCTGGCTCGGAGCCAGGGACCAGGGTCTCCATTCCTGATCTGTCCCTGGAGATGAGTTTATGAATGTGAGCCATCCTTTAATGATAGTATTTACTGGCTTTTTACACACACACCAGTGAGTTATCAGGTGATCCAGTCAAGGCCCTGGCTAGGAGGGGGGCTCATTTAGTGCACGCCCTCTCAGCTGAGGGCCACACCTCAGCCCCCTGGAGCCAAGTGCTGGGCCCTCTGGTGTTTTGGACACTGTCAAGGTGTCTTCTTGCTAATGTTGATTCTCCCAAGTGCTTTTTGTCAGGCAGAGCAGGTAGTTTCACATTCCTACATTTATGGAGCGAGTGTGTGTGTGTGGGGGGGGGAGGAATTGTGGCCTAGTAACAGTCCCAAGTCTTCACCTGAGTGGCCCCGCTGTCGTCTGCCTGTGGCCTGCAGAGGGGACAGCCTCAGCAGGCGGAGAATGAGGTGGCTTTGCTGGCCTGGTGGTGATAGCGGAGGGGGTGGGGACTGCTAGGTGTGGGCTCAGAGAGCCAAGTTGTTCTGCCTCGCAGTGTATGGCCCTGTCCCGCACACCTTTGATGAAGACTGGGTGGCCATGCAGACCAAGAGGATGCTGGACATGAAGGTCAGTCCCATCCAGGGCTTCGCCTCCAAGTGGGACTACGAGAAGAACGACTGGAAGAAGTGAGGCCGCCGCCCAGCGGCTGCACCCCCAGCAGCCCAGCACCTCCGTGGAGCCAGTGCCACGGTCCCGATGCTAATAAATGACGTTTACGCGGAAGCCTTCCTGACTGCTCTTTCACTAGCGAGAACTCTAGGTTTCTCCAAGTGTTCCATTGGTCTTTTGGGTGAATCTTGTGTCTGCATTTGTACATGACATTACATAAATACTAAAAGTAGAGGGGTCATTACAGGATGGGGCCGGTTCCCATGAGCCACTGTTGGGATTTTCACTCCCCGTGAATGGCCCCAGTTGGTTGGAGTGATGAGTGACAGGCTGCAGGGCAGGCTGGGCTTTGGGCTCTCCGCAGAGCTCTAGGTGATGGCTTCCCTCACTGTGGCCTGTGTCCAGTTGGTAGGAAAGTCAGGGTTGGGGAGGTGGCACTTAGACCTGAGGGGAGAGGGTGCCAACACCTGAGAGGAGGTCGGGGGTGGCCTGTGGAAACGGCTCCAAGCATACACGGCGGACACAGATAACCTGATGTGGGACAGGGGCGGGACTCAGACCAAGGAGGCTAGCGATGGGGTTGGAGAGCTCAGGCAGGGGTGGTGGGGGTGCGAGGCAGCACCTGACATGGGCTCATTCCTCCACAGAGGGGTACTGTGTCCTCACAAGAGCCTGTCTGGAAGTGACAGGGACAGTGCCACTGTGGCCAATGGCACCTCACCTTTCACCTTTGACCCAGAACCTCTTCACAGCCAGGTAGGGCTTGTGCCTGGAGACTCCACTGGCCTCCATGAGCAGCTAACCATGACAGAGTTGGAAAGTAACCACTGAAGAGACAGTTCATGACACAGGAAGCAGAATCCATGTGTGATGGTCATTAATGTGCCCTGTTTTCTGATGGCACTGGTATTTGAGCCTGGGGCCTTGTGCTTGCTGGGTGCCCTACCACTTGAGCCAGGGCCCAGGAGGACCTTGGTCCTGTCGGGTCTCAGCAATAGCTAGGATGACAGGAGTGAGCCCCCACGGAGACTGCTGGTTATCAGGGGTTCTTGTGATCCTCAGGGCTGGCCTTGGATGGCAGTCCTGATCGCCACCCCCCAGGTGTTATGAACAAGACACACCACACTTGGCCTGCCATCTTCTAGAATATGCAGAAGGAAACTCAGCAGTGAGTGGTGTTCACACTGTCATAACCATCACCCCTCATGCACAGATCTTTTCCCGTACTGAAACTCGGACAACAGCTACACACTTACTTGGTGTTTCTCCTCCTCAGCTACCCACAACCATTGTACTTTTTTTTGTCTTTTTTTTGGGTTGGTTGTGGGGCTTGAACTCTGGGCTTGGGCACTGTCCCCTGTGCTCTTCAGCGAAGGCGAGCGCTCTACCAGCCATTGCACTTTCTGAGTATGGCCTCATGTAAGTGGAATTATACAAAATGTTGGCTGTCTCTGGATTACGCTGCATAATGTATTCACAGTTCATTTTGTGAGAATTTCGTTCTTTTTAAGGCCAAGTAATACTGTATGGAAATAGCATTCCCTTTCTGTCAGTGAGCCTCAGCTGCTCCCGCCTGGCTGTAATAACAAGGAAGCACAGCTGTCAGTCCTGCCTTGGTTCTGGGGTTTCTAGGTGTGGAGCCTGGAGCTGCAGGGAAGATGTCCCAGGGTGCACTGCGCGGGCCAGGCGTCGTCCTCCTGGGTAGGCGAGTGCTCCCCTCTGTGTCCATCAGTGGTATCAGGCATTTTTGGTGGTGGTGTTTTAGACATGGTCTTTCCATTTTCCTACTGCAGCCTCCAAGCACTTGCTGGTGCCCGGGTGCCAGCCATGCCCAGCCCCACAGCACTGTGCTTTCCACGGATTTCAGTCTGCTGCCCTATTTCTAAAAAATAGATTATACTACTCAAAGACTCATTAAACACAAAACCCACCTTTAAAAATAACAATCCACTAGTTTTAGGTACATTATAGAGTATGGAACATAGAGTATGGAACATTTTTGTCACCTGGAAAGGAAATCCCGGCACACATATTCTCATCCCTGCTTCCCTCCCCTCCTCTAGCCCCTCTATCCTTTGTAACTTGCATGTTCTGGACACAGGGTGTGATCTGTCGTGTTGTTCTCAAGGTTCATCCATGAATAACATGTGCTGAGCTTCTTTAAGGCCCAGTCTGGTGTATGTCACTGTATTTGTCCATCCACCAGATGATGGTTGTCTGGACTATTCATCTGTTACTGCGACCCAAGCGGTCAGCAGCCAGCTTCCTGGGACCAGTTCTTAGCTACTTGTATGGGTGGAGTTGCTGGTCATTCATGTTGTACATTTCATTCCTTGAGAACCTGCTGAGCTGTTTTCAATGTGTCTGGATCATCCTACATTCTTGCCTGCACCCTAGGAAGGGTCCCCTTTCTGTGAAGCTCTGGCCCAGGCAGGAGCACGCAGAGCCTCGGGTGCCACATTTCCCTGTCATCTCTTGGGCAGCTCAGAGGTATCCGGTGGGCGTTTGAGAGGCCAGGGGAGGCCAGATCCAAAAATGGAGTTCACCGGAGGAGGGTAATTTGTGTCTCTGTCCCTCATTACAGTCTCAGCTTCAGCCCCAGGCAGGAGCCCAGATGCCTTTGAAGTTGTTTTTGCTCCCAGGCTCTGGGAGCCTGTATCCTGGCGACAGGACTTGGTTGTTTCTGTTGGCTGCATTCTCTGCTTTGGACAGCAGAGTGCGCTCCAAACCCTAAGCCACCTGGCTGTAGAGCTGGGACTCAGTACCCAGACTTTGAGCGAGCTGGGGCTGAGCTTGTAGCTCTTAGCCCTCTCCAGCCTGGACACACCCTTTCAGGTACCTCTTTAGCAGAACTTCACCCACAGCCAGGGGGCAAGCCCACTGCTCAGGGGCAGTCATTCTCCTCCTCCTCCTCCCCTGAGCCCAGCTGCTTGCCTCTGTCCTGTTTGCTGCAGGCTGAAATGGTCATTTAACCACTAAGGATTCCTCGCACGGTGTGCCCGGCCTCTGACATGGTGCCGGGTCCACAGGCCTTGAGGGCATGCGGCAGGTTTTCACCCTGCCAAGATGCTCTAGGAAGCCCTTGGTGTGCTGGTGCTGCGAGGCCTCCAGTGTGCACAGGGCCTTGTTCCAAAGCAGCCTGAGCGCAGGTTCATTGTATGGCCCTGACAGACAGACCTGGGTCTGAGCCTGTTTTACCACACAACATGTATTACTTCCTATGGATGAGGTTATTGTCCTATCTAACAGATTAAAGGAGGCACAGAATGGTTTCGTGACTTCTCTCAGGTCACACAGCCATAAAGGAGAACTAGGGTTCAGATTCAGTTCAGCCTGCTCAGAAACCAACCCACACAGGCTGCGCCGTTGCTCTGTCTTGAACAAAAGGGGCAGTGGGTACTCAGGAAGTGTTAAGTAAAATAAACACGTCCAAACTCTACGAGCAGGTTAGCCTCTAACACATTCTGAAGGAAGTTCTTCATCTTATGTCCTTGTGCCACCAGCCTAAGCCAAACCAGTCCATAGCGAGCCCAGCGGAACTCCAAATGGTTCTTCCTGAGCCACCGCCAGGGCGCTGCGGGCAGCACCTCGTTCAGGGCGGGCAGGAATCCCAGTCTCCCTAAGAGGCAGTGGTGTGCACACCTAGCAGGTTAACACCTGTGTCCCGCCAGGTGCGCTTGGGAATGAGGTGGTCCCCAGGAGATCAGACCCTTTAGAAACTCGATGGAGGCTGTGGTTGCTGCTCTCCCAAGAGGTGCGTCTGAACCCCCAGGCAGGAACCAGTCATCTGCTGCCCGGAGCTTCAGTTCAACACTCACCCTTTGCTTCTTGTGTCACTTACTGGGTCAACTCTGCCAGTGACAGGGAAAAAGAGCTCAGTGCCAGGATTCTGTCACGTATTCACATACCAGGCCTTCCGACCAAGTCAATATGGGCGCAGAAAAGTCACCACCACAGGATGTGTTCTTAACACCAGACACCTGGCAGCTGGCAAACAACACAGCCCCAGAGGCCTGGGGGGCTAGGCAACAGGAAGGGCTGGTCCTGAGGGGCCACTGAGGGGCAGGAAGCACACGGCCCCGGAAGGCCTTCGTGCCAGGGTTTCCCAGCGCAGGCAGGCTGTAGGATGGTTGGAAGCTCCTGGCTGGCAGGTGCTGGTGACCTAGGGTGTGTCTATGGGAAGGCACTCACTCTGGGGTCTGGTCAGGCCCCCCCAGTGATCCTAGTGCAGGTTTTCAAGTCACTGCATTCATTCCCCAGGAGCAGGCCCCCAGGTGTCCCTGGCCTGGCCACCTCCACCCACAGCTGCTGGATAGGAGCGGGAAGAGGGAATGGAGGCCAAGATGTCCACAGGTGTTCCTGGAGTCCTGGCAGGACAGGGGGGCAGCAGGGCATTGGAGAGACACAGCCTCCAACAGGCTGGCAGGGAGGGGTGGGATCCCAGTCCTGGAAGCCTGCCACAGCACACACCCATGGGGCGTGTGTGCGCACACGGGGGGGGGGGGGGTGGTTGTGGAGGGTGGGGGGGAGATGTTTAATCTGGATTATCCTCAGTGCCAGGAGCTGGCTGTCATACACCAAGAGCACACCAGGTGGCGGCAGTGCTCCATGCGTGCCCCGGGAGCCCGCTCCACCAACTGATCTATTCAGAAGCGCAGGGCCTGGGAGACTCCTTTAGGTTGTGCTTGACCTTGAAAATCCAAGGGGACGCCTTTTGCTCCGAGATCCTGCAGTTTAAACACGCCATGTACACAACAAGTAGCCTCCCAGGACGCAGTGCAGGCTGCACACCAGCACCACCGGCCCCGCCCTGCTCACTCATCTACATTCAGACTGAGCCGCAGACCGGAGTGGAGCGGTGCCACCTAGGTCCTATCCCCCTGCATGGTGCACCTCTGCGGGGAAGGTGGGACACTTACCCTTAGGCCGAGTTGGGCATTTTCTTTTAAATTGAGATTAGGTGATTACATAAACCTCACAGTGTGGTGGGGCCGTGACACTTAAAGTCACAGACACATTTTAATCTTCACGAGGCGCATTGTCATTAAGAGCTGGGAATTTTCAACAATCCATCTACTGTGATTTGCTTCTGAGTACCTGCCATCAGACAGCCT